GTGCGCGTGCGCGCGCCGCGGGCGCTGACCCCGGGGCGGGAGGAGCCGCCGCGCCGTGCACCGAGCTGCCGTTCGGTCTCGGCGCTCCGGCTCACACTGAAATTGCCGCTTCGCAGCCCGGCTTCCCCGGTTGCTAGGCAGATTTCGCCTAACACACTTCCGGGTTGAGGCGCGTCTCGCCGAGTGGCGGCGCCGCAGGCCAATGAAGTCGGGCCGGGCTCCGGGAATCCGCTCCCCGAAGGGGGCGTGGCCTGATCTGTGACGGACAGCGGTAGACGGCCAATGAGTGTGCGGGCCGGCTGGCCCTCGGGATCGCGCGGGTGGCCGCGACGGGCCCGAGGGGGCGGGGCGGGGTGACCGACATGTGGACTGCCAATGGGAGAGGGAAGCGGGCCGCAGGACCACGCCTAGAGTGCAGGGGCGGGGCTCCGGTTTCGGGGCGGGAAGAGAACACGGCGAGGGGCGGGGCCTGGGGGACGCGTCAATTCGTGGCCGGCTCGCTCGGACCCCGGAGGGCGGTTCGGCTGGGCTGCCAGGCGCCTGGCGACTGACTGGGCAGGGGGTTCCCCGCAGTGCTCTGCAGGGGCGCCCCACCCACAATGCACCGGAGGCGGCCTAGGCCAGGCGGTTACGCCGGGTGGCGGGCGGGGCCGCGTGAGGCGCGTTCTGAGGAGACTGGGCGAGTTGTGGCCCAGGCCTTGTTCCTGAAGGGAATCTTTGCCCCGCGTTCTCATCTGACCGGAGTTGTGGTTTGGGGCTTCTGAGGAGAATATTGGGGATTCTTTCCCTGGCCCCTGTTCTGAGGAGAATCTCAGGAATTCTTGCTCCGGGCCCTCTTCTGAAGAGAATGTTGGGGATTCTTTCCCTGGCTCCCGTTCTGAGGAGAATCCTCAGGGTTCTTGCTCCTCTTCTGAGGAGATCTTGGAAGTTATTGCTCTGGCATTCAGACGAGAATTGCCAAGATAAGGATCATTAAGGATGATTTTGTTGATTCAGGACCCTAGCTCTCTCTTTTCTAAGAAAAATTGAGGTTCAGGGCCGCCTGCCATCTTTACTAAGGAGAATTTTAGAAATTCAAGATCCAGCGCCTTTCCTTAGGAAAGTGTGAGGAGCCAACCCTGCTGCTTTTCTGAGCATTTGGCGGCCACAGCCTCTTTTTCCTCCCTGCGTACCACCAACCCTCATTTATGAAGATAACTTGGGAAATTTCTACCTCACACCTTCCCCACCCCCACCACCCGAGGAGAAATTTGGGACTTCAAAACACCCTTCTTTTTCTGAAAGTTAATATCTCCCTCACCCTTTTTACTAAAGAAATCGCCAGGGAATTGTGCTGCCTGTGCTTTTCTGAGCATTATCTGAGTTGTGGTCTCCCTTTTCTTGAAATCTGCAACCGTTTGACTCCTCTACCCTAGAAAATTGTGGATTTACCTCTTTTTTGGTGGCCTTTTCTGATTCTGTCCCCTGCCTGGCTGTTCAGTGACACAGTTTCCTTCCCTGCTGGGTGGAACCCTTCCAAGAAGCATTCCCGCTTCCCACCCATCCCTAGACAAAACTGATCAGTCCCTACTGTAACAGGTACCACACTACCAGGCCAGCTATTGGAAGCATTCACCCTTGTCATCCCCCAGTTGATTCTGAACTCCTTGTCTGATTTTCCTCCAAAGAACCAAGCTTTGCGCTTAGTAGACCACCAAACATTCATTGAGTGGAAAGGGGTGAAGAAGGCAGCAATGAAAAAAGATGCACAACACTGCAAAGATTCGATATGGCAAACTTTTATTACCTCCACTTTGTGCACAGGATTGTGTGAGATACATGAATTATTGGATGAAATTTGCAAGCCAAGATGAATGCAGTAAATAGGCCTGTAAGGGAGGCAGAATGTTACACTAAAGCAATACCAATAAAATGTAGGAATGTAGAGGAGGAAGTGATTAAATGAGATAATGGATGTGAAAGTGCTTTGTAAACCATGAAGCAGCATGCCCCCGTGGAAGGGATTATTGTTACAAGTGGGCTGATATTCCAGGAAGAAGAGTAAAGAAATTCAGAGAGCCCCAGTTATGGGAGGTTGGCAAAGAGCCCTGTGGGGACTGACTCCCTGAGTGAGCTCAGCCTGGCCCCAAGTGGCAAGGCAGACAAAGTCCTTTGCTAGGGAAAGAAGCCATTGCAAACATGAAGACAAGGTGTTCAGGAGTGCCTTGTTTGCAACTCTGTTGTAGCATTTACCACATTCTGTAAGTGTCTGAGGCAGTGTGGCTGGATGATAAACACTTGGACTTTGGTGGCTAGCAGAACTGGGGTGGAATCCACGCCTGCTATTTACTAGTTAGGCCAGTTACTGTCCTCAACCATGTAAGAAATCGGAACACCGACCTCCCAGGGTTGCTCTGAGGATTGTGGTGCAAAGTGCCTTGCACCATGCCTGGCACATAGTGCAACTCAGGAACTTTTGGTTTCATTCTGATCACTAACCAGAATGCTTTTTGAGAAATCCAGTCTTATTTGGCTAAGTAATCTCTCGGTGCTTTGCATACATCTTTGTAGTTGTGAATTGAACCGGGATCAAAGAGCAACTCTTGCTCCTGCCCCTTCATTTTCTACATGAGAAACTGAGAAGCAGAGAGGGCACATGTGACTCATTCACAGCCTACTGCCATTTTATGCATCTGAGCTTGCATTGTCTTCATGTCACTTTGGGTACTTGTGCAGGGAGGGGAGGGGGGGCCTGCGCCCTTAAGTCCTTGTGCAAAACATAGCCATGTTAAGAGCCTAAAACGCTCTTGAGTCTTCTCTCTCTCTTAGGCAAGTTGTGGGAAGTGTTCCTCTGAAGGGAGGTTCTGGATGCACCTAAAATCATCCCCAAACCCAAGAGCAAAGGGCAAGTGGGGGCCTGCCCAGGGTCAAGGCTACCCAAATTAACTTTGTCAAAGGGAGCTTACAAATGCAGTGAGGGTATTTCAGGGCTACCCTGTGCAATTTCCAGACTGACCCCTGAAAATGGCAGGATCTATAATTACATCTTACCTTTTTATTTTAAGAATGAACAGAATTTTGTTGATTCTCTGGAAAAGTCTTTGCCTGGAGGCAGAAATGTTAGACTAACTCCAGAATCCTAAGCATAAACAGAAGTCCCATTTGTCTGGAAAATCTTATCCTCGAATAATCCAAGGGAATCCAAGAATCAGAGGGAGTAAAATGCCCCACCAAAATGGATGACATAACCACATTTTGTGACATAAAAAAACGAAAAGAAGGGCATGTGACCCATACCAAGGATGAGTTTTCCTTTCCACAGCAATTGCATCTCTCCTCATCAGGGCGTGTTCCTTCCTGGGTCTGGGAAGTCATGTGGGCAAACTGGCTAAGTGACATTCACATCCAAATAGGGAAATGGGAACTGAGCCAGGCTCCTTTCAGGGCAGCAGGAGAGGCGGGTCCTCAGTGGTAGCTAGAAAAATGAGGGCCAGGTGGGCGCTGGCGTGCAAAAACCTCCTGTTTGTGTCATGGCCTTGGACCACTGAGGAAACAGTGCCTGAAGACAGCTTTTCAATACCAGCTGGAAAGATACTAAACACAAAGATTAAACCCCTTCAGTGTCACTGAATGACAGTGTCAGTTCAGATGCAAGCAGCAAAATCCCCTCCATCCGTGGCCTCCTAAGATTGTTGGACTGCATAATTCACTTGGGTTCGCCAGCCACTTCGAGGTTTTCCTGTGTGAGTTGCTGAGCTACTGAAACCTGCATCCTTTGGAAGGTCCAAGAGAAAAGGTGGTGAAAACTTAGTATCTATTTCCTGGGAGAAATATACAACCAAATCAAGATGTTGGCATAAGTATTCCTCCCACTTCCCCCAGAGAAAGTGATGTTGGTTGTCTAGAAAAATCTGGAATCCAGTCCAGATGGAATTCAGAAGTCCTTTAAGCTCCACCTTTTTGAGATCTCTAGGTAAAAAACCTGAACTCTGGTAGCAAATCTTATCTGGTGCTTATTGACATAATTAAGTGGGATTAGTAACAACCCTTTTCTGAAACAAAAGCAAGTGTTATCTACATCTAAATGTCTGCAGCCTAGAACAATACTTCTAAATCAGAATGGTGACTTCCCCAACCAGGAAGGCAAGCAGATTTCCAAACAGAAGGGAGTTCATCCTAGACACAGACAGCAGGCAGGACCTTGTGAGTGAAAGGGAGGAGCAGACCCCAGTGATAGATGTGAAAGACTCTTACTGATGCCCTAGTAGAATTCTCCTTTAGGTTCTATCTGATTTGAAGGCCTTTAACCCAAAAAACCAAACCCATTGCTGTGGAAGCCTTTAGCATCCCACATATGCACTTACATCTGAGCCTAGAAACATAGGTCACAGCTTTTGTCCGGCTGCATTTCAGACACCTTTGAGACAAAGCACCCCATGCCCCTTGTCCCTATGCCTGAAGTGATTGATTGCTTTCTGTCTCTAAGCGGTGTGCGTGTCACACCCGTGGCCCAAGCTCACTACTTTCGTTTCCTCATCATTCCCTCCTCCCTGTCGGTCTGGCGTCTAATCCTACCCTTAAAATCTCTCTCTCAAGTTACTGAGAACCCAATGATTGCCCATCCAGGAACTCTTATCAGTCTGCATTTTCTCCACCCTCTAGTGACCAGAGGACATGTTCCCCTCCTCAAAATGTCTTCCTGG